GGCATCCCCCAGCCAGGTCTCAGTAAAACAAGCCAGGTCGGCTGCCTCGTCCACTAGCAAGTCGTGGATGATGTGAGTCTTGGTTTTGACTGACCTGGCAATGCAAAGGAGCAGGCTGAGGGTCAGTGGAATGGTGGGTATGCTCTCCAAGTTATCTTGGGAAACAGGATCAACTGAAGGAGGGATAGATATTAGACATCGAACGCTCCTTCTTTTGTAATATTTGTTGAAACTGTTGCCGCCATATCTTCCATGCCCCCACACTACCTGGATGTCTGCCCCCAGCTTAAAATCAATCCCCAATGCAGGAGGAGAGATAGAATAAAAGCCCACTGAAGTATGCCCCCAATATACAAAGACAGCTATCTGCGTAAAGCCATAAGATAGCCGAAGGGGAGATGGAAGTTCACATGGGATTTCATCTTAACCACACTCTCTCTAATTCATAAACCGAATTAGCAGTTCAAGAAAAAACAGCTGGTCTCCCGTGGCTGGAGATGGTAAGATGTTACAAATGGCACCACAGCCATTTTAAATCCACACCTTTTGCTGACAGCTTTGGGATGACTTAGGCAGTCTCAGAGTGGCTTCTGGCCACTTTGAGGGCAGGCATCATTTAAATGCCATGCACCTGAAGCTGCCAGAAGCGGCTCTATTTGGCCTGTCTATTTTGGGCCTAGATTATTGAAAGTGATTCAGACAGTATTGTTCCAAACTAAGCCAGGTCAGGGGAGAACTGATACAAATTACACTGATTTGCTTCATTATGGGGAATTTGACTGAATTAGTTGCAATACCATAATTGCCAGTCCGAACTAGAACAGATAAATATTGGTACAAATGTTATCTTAGTGGTGATTCAGTAGTCTTCAAGGCAGCTACTCTAGTTTAAAATAAAATTGAATTTTGGCCAAATATATTAAAAGCTGAGCATTAAGTAGCAGATAGTTTTTGGTATAAAACAGCTCTCTGGAACAGTGTGATAAATCCCCCCCCCCTCATAAAATTGCAGCTAAAATGATGTTTCATTTGGAACTGAAATATATGTGTCATTTCATAGTTTATAATTTGCATGTAGTGTCCAACTTCTTTGTAGGTTACAACCACTGCTTAAAACTTCAGCTACAGAAAATGGAAATTGAAAGCAGAAATTTAATTAAAAAAAAAAACTAAAACAGCAGATCAGAAATGGCATTGGCACTGCCCTAGAAAATCCTTTACAATTTTCATATATTTTTATATTATTTTTATATGAATTTATTAAATAGTATCTGTATCTTTCAAGGCTAAGCATATGAAGTAATCCAATATTTTATGCCATTTAAAATTAATATCAGCATTTGGCAATGTCCAGAAAGGTGTTTTCTTTCTATCCAGCCACCCTTGTCACAATAAAATGATCAGCAAGAACCAGAGTGATGAACAGTTTGTAGTGCCCCAGAATATTTGTAAAAGCACACTAAAGCAAAAAGCCTAGTGAGTTTTTTGGGCAGTGTGCTGCTACATCTGCCATGGGCCACTAGATCTTTTCTTCTGGTGGCATCAACCCTAACAGAACTGATATTTAGAGATGGAAGAACAAGGGGGTATACTTCCTTTATGAAGTAACTATTGATAGTGAGGCATGTGGAGTTTGGGGAATATTGGAGCTATTGAAAGGGGAAAGGAGCTGAAGATCAAATAGCTGTGGTGAGAATGGGAAGAATTTGGTTATTCTTCTCTGGCTTGAATATTTGAGCCAGAGCAAAAATTGGAGGTCCATAGAAATAATCTATTCATTGAGGTAAACTTTAGATGTTTATAAATGTTTAGTATAAACTGGAGCTCTCTGGGCTTCATCGACATTTTTATTTCATCCATTGTAACTGGAATATTAATTTTGCTGTGACCAGGGTCTTTTGTACTTGGTCTCTTGGGAAATTCTAGAGGGGAAAAATGTATCATTAGGCTGAAGGTATAATATGGGATTTTAAGTATTGAATATGGTCCAGAACTCCTCTGTTATGTTAATTTTAAGCAATGCATAATGA